ACACTTGAATACAGACATTCTCTTGAATTTTTGAAGGGTGAGCAGGATTCTCTATGCTTCTCCCAATTTTTCAACACAGTCTTCATAAGAGAGGGAGGAAAATGAGTCATCCTTTTTGGTTCATGAGTTCGTGGTTCATAGAACATGTCTTCAGAATAGATTATCGGATGTGGAGGTTAAAGGGACACTGTTTATCTTGTTTGGGTACCTCTTGACCTGCAGCTCGCTATAGTAGGAGAACTATTATAGCTGTTTTTAGCTTTAAAAAGTGTTTTTAAATGTTTATTTTTGTAATCACATATTGATTTTCCATTATTTAAAAGATATGTTTCCTTACATTGCCAAAAGTCCTACCAGTTTTTACTGTTTGTATAATCAGTGGTGATGGTCATGTTATTCTACCCCATATATCCATGTACAAACTATGTAAAGGGAAAATAACTTCTGAATAACTTGCAGTATGTAAAGCAGCACATTCCCATGATGTAGTTTAGCATGTTCCTTTACACAATATGATATGAAGATGTGACGATCCATCTAATTTCTCAGCAAATCCAGCCTTAGACATTGAAGTTTTTAAATAATTTATTTCTAAGTTATTCAGCTACTCACTTGGCCGAGGAAGGTTTTTGTGCTCACTAGGAAAATAAAAACTCAGTCCTTTCAGTGCGCATTTACTGCAAGCACCTCTTGTGGTGGTTAATTGCACCTTGATGGAGACAAATGTTCCATTTGCCATTTGCCTCACATCTCACCTGTGTGTGGATGTGAGTAGCATGGTACTGTGATTTATGGAGCTTTCAAGCAGATATCATTGCATGGCAATTAATGTATGGTTCCTGCTGCTATGTACAATAATTGCTCCTGGAAGTTAGATATTATTCTTAATTTTCTTCCCCATTTGTCAGATACAGGTTTATTGTCATAGCTGCCATGAAACAGCAAGTGACCTCACCACACACTATGCTAAACTCATGAGAATGAGGAAGTGCCATGGTTCCAACCAGCCCCAAACTGTAATATGCGTAAGCTGCCCAAGATCCCTTACCAAACTATGGTGAATCCTGCCACTGTTGTTTTATTGAGTTAGCTTTTTCAAGATCAAATGAGTGAAAACATAATTACATTTTTGGTTATGTTTAGAAGACTTTATTGGAGTCAGACAGGAAATTGGAAATCTCAAAAGAATGTAATAGTGGCAGAACTATTTTTTTTAAATCCTGTACTTCAGAAAAAAAAAAAACTATCCCACAAATATGTTTGTATTTTACGATACCAGAGTAATTTGAATTTTCCTTTTGTTTTTTGCCTTTAGAATAATCTCCGTAGAATTACCAGATGATGCAAGACAGTTTGGAATTCAGTTCAGATGGTGGCAACCATATCATTCTTCCCAGGGAGAAGACGTATGGGCTATTGATGAGATTATCATGACGTCTGTGCTTTTCAACAGCATTAGTCTTGACTTCACCAATCTTGTGGAGGTCACTCAGTCTCTGGGATTCTACCTTGGAAATGTTCAGCCATACTGCGGCCACGACTGGACCCTTTGGTAAGAATTTCATCATTGTTGTTACAATTTGCATTAGGAATTGGAACACGAGGATGATCTTCCAGTCCACTCAGCACTTGGCCATTTGTTGACAAGTATTTACTGAACATGAACCCCTTGAAAAGTCAATATGACATCTTCAAATAAGATGTCTTGGGAAAGAGAACTGACAGCAAAATATGGATAGATTTAAATAAACATAAAATTTTGCCATATTCATTAATCTCAGAGTCTCATTTCCCACAGTTACATATAAAAACCTTCTTCAAAAAGTGTTAATAATTAAAGTGACTACCATATTCTCCCTTCATAGAGGCCCATGATAATCCAAATGAAGCATGAAATCACTCTAGTGACTACTTCAATAAAATTTCTCATGAGTAGTTCTGTTTTCATGCTTACATAAAGTCCAAGAAGTTTTTTCAGCCTTTATTTCTTAACTAAGATCTTTTTAATCCATTTTTTCAAGCTATATTGGGCCAGTGCTTCATATAGTCAATGCTGGTGGGGGTTTCAAGATTGTGGGATAGCCTAATTAAGGGACCCTTCATTTTTAGATATTTTCCCCCTGTGGTCATATACAAATTTAATTGTATGATAAACAGTCAATAACTAATTTCAACTGTGATTAGCATTTCATGGACACTACCAGGATGATACATCAGTGATTAGCTGGGATCAGGAGGTAGTCGCTTTACATAGGGAACTCCCAAGAGGCTTCTCAGAGGCTACCTTTGGACAGTTCAGACAGTGCGTACAGTACATCCCCCCGATTGGAAGATGGAAGAATAAGGAAGTTCCAGCCACATGAAGATCTGGAGAAAGAGAATTCCAACTACTGGAAAGTTTGTGGTGCAAAGACCCCAAAGTGAGTGTTACCACAGCATGTTCAAGGACCAGGAAGGAGGCCAGCAGTTCTGGAGCCCAGGTAGTGAGGGAGGAAATGTCAAGGATGCAAACCAAGAGATGTACAGAGGCCAGGTCATGTAGGGTCTTCCAGGCCCAGAGATCCTGGATTAAAACTTAGGTCTGCATGATTCCAAAACCCACTTCACCACGGTGCATACTGCCCCTCTCTCGGTTCCTTTAGGACCATAAACATGATTGAGGAATAATTTTTCTAAGAGACTTTTATTTTCTATTGGGTACATGGTCAGACCAATTTAATTCCTCCAGATAAATCTCGCCAAAAGCTATTCACTGCCATTGCCTCCAGAGAGCATGTCATAAATGACCCATCAGTGACCTTATCATAATTAGAGGTAAATTTTACACACTATTGCACAGAAAATTACCTTTGATGGGAATTGTGCATGTATGGTCACATCTCACACACAGCAGGCTAAAATTCTAGCATCAAAATGACAGCTAATGGAATGGAAGTACAGCTGGTCACTTTTGCAGCAAGCATTGTCAAACTGGATAAAATGAAATTTCTATTGGACAGAGTAGGAAAGGTTATATTGTGTGTTTTCTATTTGATAGCCTCAGATGCTTCTTTCTATGGATGCTCTTTCTTAGTCCTGGAGCCTTCAAAGAAAATAAAGGGGTAAAGCATTAAGAAGATATAAACCAAAATGAATTTTTTTAGAATTTTATGCTCCTGAAAATTTAGATAGACCCAAATTAACAGTAATTCAAATTGATCATGTACCATAAACTATATCCCTCAAGTTTGTGGGTAGGTTTTTTCACTAACACTTAATACAACAAAGAGTCATATCTCGAATGCAAGTCCTGTATCATGTTTATTTTCATAAATAGTTAACATCTGCTCAAATAAACTCCAAAGTTGCTGAGCATTTTAATTTAACACTTGGGTTGAATGCATGGTAACAGCAGTTTAATTTCTGTGCTTTGATCAAAACCCTAAGAACAATATCCTTTCACACAAGTCTGATGAATATTCTTAACCCACCACTGCTTTAATTGGTGGAGATACATTTACTTTGTGAAAGTACAATCACAGTAATTATAGAAAAACCGTAAGAAAATATAAATAATTGTACAATCCCCATGGGCACCTTGAGCAGCACCGTAGGAGTTTTATTAGCAACCACATGTGAGCAATCGATTTGACTTTCTGATCTTCTCTGAAACGAAAAGGAGTTGTCTTGATTATGAAACAACAGAGAGTATACTCTGGCAGTGATAATGAGACTACAGAAACACATTAACCACTTTAATAAGGACATGAAAAATGCTCACTGCTCATTAAAATGAAACAACATGGAAGATCTCAAACTGTTCCTATTTTCTTAGCCAATGAGTCAGAATAAAACCCCTTTTAATGACACTATTTTCTGTCTGCTGCTATTGAGGAATATATTGTCTAAGATTTAATGTGAATACTTCAGTGATGTTTTTCAGAAACATTTATTCAATATTGAAATTCAAGTGATGATACTGACCAACTATTTATTATAACCACCTACTCCGTAAAATCTTTGGAGTTTATTGTCTTATTAAGTAAAAATTCTTTAAATATATTTAAGTATGTGGTCTCCGCCCTTCAATGACCTTGTTTCTCTCAAGGGAAATTTTGAAATGTATACGTGGTCTGTACGAATGGCTGGTGTTAAATTAATTATTGTTGGTTTTTCCCAGCTGTGAGTTCATTTGGTTCTCATTTTCTCACTCATGACTTTCCATGAGCATGGATTGTTGTTACTGAGAGTGTTCTCCAGGGAAAACTTGGACAATTGCTTTTTCATTAGAAGAACTACAGTCAATATGCTGTAAATCACTTTCCAGTATGTCATCCTAGAATACTTTTTTCCAGTGGAGAAAATGGATTGCTTTTAATTCTTTGTAATACTTTTCTTTCTTCCATACATAGTATCTGAAATCAGAACCTCTATGTGCTTTAGGTTTTAAAAATAGTCTTTAAAACCTCTTACATATGTTTGAGGATCACTAAGGGAATGATTCTAATAGAGGTTTATTAAAGATTGCATTAACTAATACTATTAGTGATAATACCAAGGGACATTAAGACATTAACATTCCTCTGTCCTATCTAATAAACTAACTAGACACCACAGGTGGGAAGGATATTGCTGTCATATTACATAGAGTTTTGGTTTCAAAATGTATACAATTGCAAGAAGATAGTTGTCATAGCATACTAGAATTGGCCATTGTTTTTGGTAGTTATGGTGTGGTAGAAACATAAGCTTCGAGGTCAGAGACCTGAGTTCAAATTCTGGTACTGCCACTTAAAAGCTTGGACAATCAGAGCAGGACAATTTTAACTAATGAGGGATTTTAAGGAACATGCTTTGATGTAACTGTTTTAAGAAGGTTGCATCAAAGCAACTCTATCAAAATAGGAAATAACTGAGTTTTGTTACTCAGTTATTGTTACTCAGTTATGACTTCCACTTCTACCCAGATCTTCCACCTATCTTTGTCTTTCATCCCTTCCATGACCTAGTGCCATCTCTAACCCTTATTCCAACTCTAATCACTGCCTTATATCCGAGCCTCACTCCATTGCCAGCCCCTAATAATGGGCCAGCAGTAGCATAGAGTGAGAAACCAGTCTTGCACATTCTCTTGTAATTTCTAGAAGATGACACTTTAATGGTTTCATTTTTAGATTACCAAACATGTTCCCATATCAAAACAGTAACATCAAAAAGCTACACATTCAGGGGAACTATTTAGCCTCTCTGAACCTGAGTTTTTCATCTGTAAGATGGAAGCAATGATACCTCAATACTTCCAGGATTGTTGTAAAGATTAAGTGAGATCACAGATATAAAGTACCTACTATGTGCATGCCATTTCCATTCCCTTCACTGTCTGGTTGAAGGGAAGAAAATTGGTATCTGTAGGGTTGTGTTTAGGTCCACAGTATGAGCAACTTTTTTTGATTTTAGAGGGTAATAAACATTATTATTTTTTTTAGTAATGCAGAAGAACATGTCTCTGAAATGCAAAGAGATGAAAATAGAGATGTTAAATAAAATTTTTCTTGTATAAACTAGATTTGGTTGGGGGAAAAGTTTGGAGAGTTGTGCAAGAGAATGTTGATATAGTTGTGCTTCTTTTTGTAAGTATTTTTCTATCTAAATACCAATCATCATCTCTGTACAAATGGATTATAGTCCAGCAACACTAAATATGTTATCACAGAAAAGATTTTGCGAATAGTTGGGTAGTTAAGTTACTAGGAAATCTCAGACATAAAGAATCCTAAAAGCCTGTTTATCTCATAATGTAACTCAAACACAGTTCATTTGCAATAAAAAGTAGAAAGAAAAAGCACTGTGACCTATTAACAATTAAAGCAAAAATTAAGATGGAATAAGAAAAGCTATAGTTTTTGTTTATCATTAGTGGTGCTTGAGGAAAAGCAGATTTAATTAAAAGAAGATTTAGAGACAGTTGAGACCTGTAGAAATGTTAAAAGGACCTCCTGAGTACTTTCATGAGCATTAAAGGTAAAAAGCATTCATTCCTTGTTGTCTAATTTTATTTTATTTTTTAATTAAAGCTTCTTTTTTCTTTACATAAGTAAATCACTAGCACTAGTCATATGTGGGTCATTTTTTAGAAAGAGAAATTTCCTAAAGTAAGTGTGAAAGTAGAAAGAAAATAAAAGAGCAACATGCAAGAAGTGAAATTAATTGCGAATGACAAAAGGCATGAGAAAAAAAAGGTAACGTTGGGTGGTATGTGATGATGGGAGGATCTTTGAAGCCTAGTTTTCCACACCAGCACCAGGTGGCAAGGTCAGCCCTTGACGGAGGAAACTAGAGGTGTAAAATGAAAAGAACAGCTGCAGGGTGGGTGGCCCAAGTCAGAGGGAATTGATAAATGAGTACACGTTTAGGACATTTAAAAGTTATGTGTTCATATCTCATGGGATGTCTATGGGCATAGACAAGAAAAAAGAATTTGTGTATTTTATGAGAAGCAGGAGTTGCTCAGGCAAAAACCCCAGACTAAAAAGGATCCTAAAGCCTGTTTATCTTACAATGTAAATTAAATAC